AAACAGTATTAAATAACATTTACTGGCCTGTTTATTATAAACAGAGCATTTACTTAAATACTTGTATCTATAAAAAGAACGTTAAACATAAAAATGTCTTTAATATATATATATATATATATATATATATATATATATATATATATATATTATATGATTTTAATTTATATGTAGCCTGGCGATTGCATCTAGCATGAAACAGCCTGCCGCCTCTAAGTGTTGAATTCAATGTTCACTTTTATATTTACACACGCTCTATCTATGATATTGAGCATTTTATCCCATGAATATATCACACTTCAAGAAAATATTTCTTCATATATATATATATATATATATATAATTTTAATTTGATTTCGAAGAAAAAGTTAAAAACTGGAAGAGAAAACTACAACTAGAAAATGAAAGACGCAAGCAAAAGCAGAATTTTTATGAAAGTGAAAGTTAAATTCATGATAACGCACGTGTACAAAACGGAGTAAAAAAGCGGATTGAAAAAGACGCGGGAAAAATTGAAAAATACGGAAATACCGTTTAAAACCTCAACCCATGAAGACTGGAAATGTCTGCATAAAACTTATATTTAAAAGTTAAGTAATCTTTTCATATAATATTATCATCGCTCTATTTTTAATATTATTTTGATATTTATAATATTGAACACTATACAAGGGTTGGACAAAATAATTGGAACACTTGTTAAATTCAAAGAAAATTTATTTAATATGGAGTTGGTCCTCCTTTAGCCTCACAGACAGCTTTAATACGTCTAGGAATGGAATCATACAGCTTCCTGACTTGATCCAGAGGAATTTTCAGTCATTCTTCCATTAAAACCTTCTCCAGCTCTTTATAACACGAGGGTGGAGGATAGCGGCTCCTAACTTGTTGCTCCATTCCTTGTGTTCTAGCTCACTTTCATGCTCTTCATACCAATTCTTAACCACTCGATCGGTATGTATTGGAGCATTATCGTCTTGGAAGATGCAGTCACCATTAGCGAATAAAGTCTTGGCCATTGGATGAACATGATCTCTCAAAATGTTCAGGTAACCTTTGCTGTTGATTCTACCATGCAGGGCAACTATTGGACTGAGACATTTCCATGATATGGCGGCCCAAACTATCACTGATCCACCTCCATGCTTCACTGTTGGAAGAAAGCAGTCAGGGTTGTAAGCTTCTTTGGGCTGCCTCCACATATAAATTCTCCCTGAAGTTGGAAAAAGAGAAAAACTGGACTTGTTTGAGAATATGACTTGCTTCCATTGGTCTGCAGACCAGGCATTGTGATCTCTACACCACTTCAACCTCTTTTGAATGTTGGGAGTTGAGATAAGAGGTTTCCTCACAGCGGCTCTTTGTCCGATGATTTTTGCCACATTGCGTTTCAATGCACGTCAGTCCCTGTCAGTAAGTTTGCAAGTCTGGCCCGAATTGCTACGATTGCTAGAGGTCTTGCATCAGTGTTCTTGATATGGTAGCTCTTGACAAACCAAACGGTTCAGCAACCTTAGTGATCGAGGCTCCTGCCATGCGAGCTCCGACAATTTGCTCTTTTTCGAACTCGGAGAGGTCACGCGTTTAGCTTAATTCTAAAAATAAATAAGACAAAGACAGTAAATTAGATAAATAAACGTATTTATAATAGATGTAACCTGCAATTACGAAGTTTTAGTTAAAGTTCTTAATATAATAGGTCTTTGAAATATAGAAGTGGATTTGATAACTGTTCCAGTTATTTTGTCCAACCCCTGTATCTAAAAATATTTGCTGTTTCTTAAATCTTAAATCTATCTATCTATCTATCTATCTATCTATCTATATATATATATATATATATATATATATATATATATATAATAGCAAAGAATAAGCGTAATTTAAAAGACATTTTTAATGTAAATTCTAATCGCTAAAAAATAACCAGTTTCGTCTCAGTCTTATCAAGTTTACTCGTTGGAAAAATAAGAGACGTGTAAAATAATCAGAGGATGACTGATGGGGAAAAAATACAAGGAAAATTAGAGCCCAATAACATTCAGACCCAGCAAACAATCCCACTGTTTACCGAGGGAAAGTTTGCGGAATCTGATATATAAGAACTAGAACCTTTAGGTGGTTATGAACTCTTAGGGTTCTGTCACTGGATCTAACTAACGCCTTTATTCACTATGCCATGTGTCCTTGAGAGTGTAAGTTCAATACCTGGTTAAGTCGGTGGAGATAATTAATAACTGACATCCATTAGACATGGCACGTGGAACTAGAACAGTCTACCCCAGTGAGGGAAATAAAGGGTTGAGTTCGACATTTCAACTGTCTGAAGAAGGTCAGAGGGTACAACGGCAGAAACGTTGTGATAGATATGGCGACAAAGACAAGGACAATAGTCCGAATAATGAAAATAGTCTAACAATTTATGTTGGCTTCTCGCTTTTGAATTCCTTTCCGGCTCCATGATTTCCTGCCAACTTTAATCTGCAAAAATTTATATGGATTGTCAATCGCTATCTAGTGTTCTCTTGCTTACCCTATTCGCTTCCCGCACATCATAAATGTTTCTGTATGAGGTGAAACCAGTTATATCTCTATCTATAAAAGGCAGGATCTCTCTGTGTGTGTGTGTGTGTGTGTGTGTGTGTGTGTGTGTGTGTGTGTGTGTGTGTGTGTGTGTGTGTGTGTGTGTAACGAATGCACGGCCGCAATTTTAGACGGATTCGCCCCAAAATTTACATGCACATGCTCCAAGTTAGCGGGAAGGCCAAGACCGACTTTGCATTTCCCAACTCCCATCGATAGGGGAAATAATCGAGTTTTTCATGCAACTACGGCAGTTTTCATATAGTTTGCGGCCATTTTCTACTGGCCAGAGTGAGGGCCTAAAGCTGGCTACCACGAATAGGCAGGAAGATTCTATTGGCCAGCGTGAGAGCCAACAGCCGACTGACACGAATGTTAACTAGCATGCAAAAATATGAATCGATAGATGCATTCGTCACAAATGGGAAAAATTTAAATTTCCATGGCACTTTACTCCAGTTGGCTCATTCGCTTGCTTAAACTCAACGTTGATTCTGATTCCGCAGAACTGGTTTGGGTGTGAAAAAGTATTTGTTCTTAACATTCTTTTTCATTCGTTTTTTTTTCCAGTTACGAGTCCTTTTTTTTAAAGCTGATCGTTTTGTGTTCATTTTGTTTAGTTCTTTTTTCGTAACAGATTTAATGTTTAGTATAGAGCTTAGAAAAAATTCTCAGTGTGAGATAGGCAAGAAGTAAGGCATGTATCAACATCAGCACGACAAAGGGCATTCCTTTAAAGGCAAGGAAGGGCAAAAATATTTTAAGTCAAGTGATAGAGATTGCTGTATGAGTCGTACGATTTTTGAATCAAGCACGCGCAACGCCGGGCCATGCTGCTAGTATATATATATATATATATATATATATATATATATATATATATATATATATATATATTATTTCGTGAGCGTGGAGTACTTTCTAAGATATTTATTGCGGTTTCGACCTTACTATATTCTATTCCCAGAAGACAAGTTATTAGAAACCATTTGAGGAAGAATTCCTTCTAAATTTCTTATTATGTCGTCGACTACAGCTTTCTTTCTTTAACTTGCTTTATTGCCAATATATATATTCACTGAACTTCATTTATACTTCGTTTACGAATTACGAAAAAAAAATCCTGTTTTTTTCTTTCTATGCGTTTTTGCCGCCGATTTCCTTCGTGACTGACATGTTAACAAAAGCCGTCCGCTAGGATGTCTACCTTCATTAATGTTTCCCAAAAGAATTCACTCGAAGGAATAGAAAAGATATTATTTTTTCCTATTCACCGGCCGCCATTTGAAACAATGTATTCCCCCATCTCGTGACATTTGCCCGGCTTCTTGGTTCCAACCTTTTTCTTGGAATATTTAACTCATATTTTACTCCTCCAATCATCTTTTTTTTTTCAAATTTTATTCTTTCGTTTTACATTTATTCTTTCCCCTTTTGCGTATTTTATTATATTTTTTTCTGATATTCTTCTTTTTCTTCCTTTTTCGTGTATATTTTTAATTTGTTAATTCTGTCTTTACTTATTCTTCCATTTTTCGTTTTTGCATTGTTTTCTTTTTCATTTTTTGCTTTAATATTTCTTATTTTCAATTTTTTCTAATCTTTTTCTATAATTTCTTTCTTTCTTTTTTTCCTATAATTGTTTTTATATTTTGTCTTTTGTTTGTTTTTAATTTTTTTATTTAGACGCAATTTTTTTTCTCTTTCATTCATAATTTTCTTTCATTCCTTCTACCTTCGAATTTTAATTGTATTTTTTTTTTCTATATATTTTTCTCATATTTCGTTATTCTCTACAATTTCTTTCTTTCTGATGAATTTTATATTCGTTTTCATTTTATTTCTTCTTTCGTTTCGATCATTTTATTTTGATCCATCCCATCATCATTAAAATTATATCGTTTTTAACAGTTTGGGGTTCTTTACAGAATGCTAAACGTTTAACTCATTCAGCCGCTTTTAATTTTCTTCTCCCCCTCGCTTCCTTACACTTTTTTTTCCCATTTTTTTTCATTTAATATTCATTCTGTTCTTACTTACAATATGTTTTTTCTATCTTTTCCTCTGTTTATTTCTTTGTTTTCGTTTAAGTCTATCTTTTTTTCGTTTTCTTTCTTTTTTCTTTCTTTCTTTTTCTTTCATTCTTTTTCTTTCTTTCTTCTTCTTTCTGTCTTTCTTTCTTGCTTTGCATTTTTCTTGCTTCTTTCTTTCTTTGCGGGTTTATCTTGATTCTTTCTTTCTTTTTCCTTTCTTTCTGCGTCTCACTCTCTTCTTTCTTTCTTTCTTTTTTTTAGTTCTTTCTTTCCTCTCTCTCGTTTCTGATTGCCATTCTTTTTTTTTTTGACTTTATTTAGCTTCTTTTTCTCTTTCTTTTTTCTTTGTGTCAATCTGGTTTCTTCCTTTCTTTATATCTCTTGATTTCATTTCTCTATTGTTGTGTATCGCTTGCTTGTTTCTTTCTTTGCATTTTTCTCTTTTTCTTTCTTTCTTTTCTTCTTTCTTTTTCTGTGTCTCACTCACTTCTTTCTTTCCTCTCTCTCTCTCTCATTTCTAATTTTCACGCTTTCTTTACGTTTATTTAAATTTACGTTTATTTAATTTTTATGCTTTCTTTCTTTCTTTTTTCTTTGCGTCAATTTCGTTTCTTTCTTTCATTATGTCTTTTGATTTCATCTCTCTTTCTTTCGTTGTGCATCGCTTGCTTGCTTCTTTCTTTGCATATTTCTCTCTTCTTTCTTTCTTTCTTTCGTTCTTTCTTTCTTTTGTTCTTCCTGCATATCTTTTACTTCTTTCTTTCGTTGCTTAGTTCTCACTTCTGGTTTTCTTTCTTTCTCTCTTTCTTTCTTTCTTTCTTTCTTTCTTTCTATACATTACGCTTACTTACTTCTTTCTTTCTTCTTTCTTTCATTATTCATTTCGTTCCATCTCTCTCGCTTTTTTTCTTTTATTACCTCTCTCTTTCTTTCCTTCTCCCTCTCTCTCCCTCTCTCTCCCTCCTCTCTCTCTCTCTCTCTTGCTTCTGTCTTTCATTTTTGTTGTTTATTCGTTATTTTCCAGTCATTATATATTTCTTCTGTATTTCTCTGATCTTACAAAAAAAATCAAATTTATATTTGATTAAATTCACTAAACCTTTTATTATTTATTTGACTTAAATATTTACTTCAGCTATCTTTCATTCTTATTTTGTTCATCGACGACGCCTCTCTCCTATTAGAGACTTTACAAAAGTCTTAGAGGACACACTGACATTGCGCTAAAATAAAAGTCATGCGAATTAAAAGATGGCAAAACTACATGTCCCTTTGCAACATGATTGAACGAAAAAAAGAACACAACCAACTCAAGCTTTAAATACAGAGGGAGTTGGGGGAGATAAAATGTAAAAGAAACTTTAAAATATATCTTCGATACTCAAAGCGAATAACAAATATAAAGGTTTCTATTAATTTCCTCTTTTCGGTTTTATTCAATATATTTTTTTCGTCCATTAATGATAAGAATAAAAGGCGGCAAATGTCTGGGATAGATGATCTCTGCAGAAATTCTTCATTTCTTTATTTGTCGTTCTGATTTCTTTTAGAAAGACGAGTAAACAAAAAAAAACAATAAAAAAAAATCTTACGTTCGTCGAGTGATTGAAGGAATGAATGCATATAAGTCTAAAATGAAAATGATCTTTTTGTATCTTGGGAATTTATCAAACTCACATCTTTAACCTCTATAATATTAATAATGACTTCAATAATCACTTGTGTTAAGCGCTGGCTCATACTGGGAGGAGAGAAGCAAGTTGGCAAATATGAAGTCAGCAAAGGATGAAGACAGGGATGTGGAGGGGGAAAATCTAGGAAAATGAAAGAGAAGTACAAACAAATAAGATGACGCGAAAGATGTAGACGAAAATAATTAAACTATTTAGAAAAGGTAAGAAAGAAAGAAAGAAACAGACAAACAAAGTAAGAAATATTTTAATAGAAAAAAAGAATATTTTTAGGGAGAAAAAAAACGAAATAAGAGAAACAAACAAAAAGCAAATAAAAAAAAGCTAGTAGAGGAAAGGTTGACTGAAAAAGGTAAGAAATATTTCAGATGGATTGTGGACGGAAGGAAAAAAGAAAGACTGAATGAATGAAAGAAAGAAAGAAAGAAAGAAAGAAAGAAAAAAAGAAAGAAAGAAAGAAAGAAAGAAAGAAAGAACAAAAAACACACCAAGCTATTAGACGGACAGCAAACAAAAATAAGAAGAAAACAGAAAGAAACATGGAAAGAAAAAAGAAAGAAAGAAGCAAAGTTTTTAGAGTGAAATAGAACGAAATAAAAACAAACAAACAAATCAAGCTAAGAGATGGAGGATAAACAAAAAGAAGAAAATTAATCAGAAGAAAGAAAGAAAAAAGAAAGAAAGAAAAAAGAAAGAAAAAAAGAAAGCAAAAAAGAAAAACTCACAGAAGGAAGCCAAACGAAAGGAAAGAAATGAAAAAAATAAGTTTTTAGAGTGAAATACAACGAAATCAAGCTATTCGACGGACAATAAACAAAACATAAGAAAGAAGAAATAGAAAGAAAGAAGATAGAAAGAAAGAAGAAATAGAAACAAAAGCTCTCAGAAGAAAGAACAACGAAAAGAAACAACAAAAAAATCAAATTAGACGGTAGATAAAAAACAGAAGAGAAGTTATCAGAGGAAAGAAAAAGGAAAGAAAGAAGAAACAGACAGAAAAGCTCACAGAAGGAAGAAGGAAAAGAAAGACTATTTTTGGATTGAAATAGAAAGGAAATAAAAACAAACGTCAAACAAATCAAGCTATTAGCGGATCGACAAAGAAAAATGAAAGTTATTAGAAGAAAGAAAGGAATAAAGAAAGACGAAAAGGTATCGAAAAATTGGAAGAAAAGAAATGATGTCATGTATCC